CGAACCGAACCGTGAATTTTGTGTATCGTTGCACCCCTAGTAGATATATCATACCAATTACACAAATATTCTGAATTAGTGTCTGAGCTCAGACCTTCCTCGCAGTCTGGAAGAGGAGTGGCGATTTGTTTGTTATCTGCTTTTTTGGAGCCTTTCTTCTTGCTGGCTGCAACTTTCTTCTGCTTGAACTCCTGCACGTCCCAATCAAGATCCCAAAGCCAGGGGTCTTCTTTGTATCTTAGTATAAACACACAAACCTTATGCAGTGTAAATGCTTTTAAAAGAACCTTCAAAGCTTGACATAAATCAGTGCTGGTCTCACCTGTCATTCTCCAGAAGCTGACATGCATCATCCGCTAGAATCATTAGAGACTTCTTCATCTCTCTCTGAAGCTCTTCATAAACATCTTGAGAATCTTCCAGGTATCGCCCCCAGTTTTGATTGACAGGAAGGTAGCTCACACCCATCTCCAGCATCCCTGCAAGCGTCACTGGATGAGGGCACCTTATAAAAACACAGCAGAGACAACACAATTATACAATGCTGTGTTGTGTACATTTGTACACAGAAGATAAAGATGACTATAAAATAGCTTTGGGTTGGGATTTGCTGACCTCTCCATGAAGAGGGGCAGCTGCTCTGTGAAGACCTCATGTGTGGCCTTAACGTCAAGGGCGCAGTATTGCATTAACTCCTGTAGGTGTCAGCAAAATCACATTTATTTTGCCTAAGTGTCCATTCAGGCCAAATGCAAGATCTAACAAATGGTTCACTTTAATCAGACACACATTTTGCCACAAATCTGACCTGGAAATTGTTTCTGACATCAGTCATGCTCCCCTTCACAAAGGTCTCTCTGGCTTCTTTCTGCAGTGGCGGCCCTCCCACATACAGAGCATGGACATCAGCCAGGTTGTTAATGCTGCTAATATTCACCCAGTCCCAGGAGCCGATCTGTGCACACAACATCATGTCACACTTATGCCAAGAGCCTTCCAAATACCAAATGATAGCCTCAAAATATTACGTAGGTGAACTGTAGTAGAAAAGGACACAAACCATTGGGCCCTCGTGTTTCTTCCCAGCTTTCTTAATGTGTTCCTTGACCTCCTGAAGACCCCTCTTTTTACCCAACTTACTGGCCATCCACAGTGTGCGCTGGAAGCCGGTTAGCCCTGAAATGGCCATGTGAAGGCTCATGGTGTCCATGAAGCGCACCTTTGAACCCTTATATGGAAGCGAATACAAACATACAAAAGCTACTGGGCATTATAGTGATTCATACAAAAAGAAATGACCAAAGGATTTTTTAAGTGAGGAGTAAAAGCAACATGTGAGGAATAGGATATAAACCTTTAATAGGTACTGCTCCTTTATGTGAGCCCGATCAAAGCTGACATTGTGGCCCACAATGAGTCTCTCCTTCCATTTACCCCCTGGAGGGCGAGCAGAGTTGAAAGGTGTCTCTAGCGGAATGAGATCAGCAAGGGTCAGGTGGTTTGACCAGGAGTATCGCTCTTCAATCAGACGCTTACTGCACCATGAGTACCTAGAAAAATAGGACACAGAGCTCACTGAGGCACGTACCAGTTATCTTTAAAACTTTTTATTGTTAGCAATTGTTGAATGGAAGACACAATGTTTTATGTTGTATGAAACAACTACAACAACATAAGAATAAAGCAAATGAATGGATTGTTCTATACAACCCTGTCCCATTTTTGCTCATTTCTTACCAGTTGGTTGGAGAAACAGCAACAGCCAGAGTGGGACACTGTCCCTCTGTTGTGCACACCTCCACATCAAACACGAGAGCTGACTCATCTGGAAAATCTACTTTCTGACTCTCCCCAGTGGGCCCATAGCGTGTCCAGCCGACCTCCCAGCTCCATTCCTGAGGCATGGGTGGTAGATCTGCCAGTTTCAGCTTGGTGGCAGCCTCAAGGTAGGGAAGGCTCTGTGTCTGGGCCAAGTGACAGAAGTGCTCGTCAATGTCATTGCCATACATTTTGGGGAGTTTCAGGTCGACATCGGGCAACAGTGAGGTGTCCTTTCCCCACAGCTGGTGTTTCTGTAAGTGCCTTATGCTGCGCTGTACAGCCTCCTCTCTGTATTCTGGCTCCAGCCCTCGAAAGATCTGCTCGTGAAGACCTTTTGACAGCATCTGGATGTTAAGGGGGTTCAGGCGGGTTTGTGTGGAGTCCTCGCCCTGAAGTATGTGAGGCTTGGTGGAGCAGAAGCCACGTAGACTCATCCATTGTAAAGAGATACGAGTCCTCTTCAGAGGACAGCGTAACACATGCAGCATCACCTCATGTGGACTTCTCACTCGAGCTGGAAGACATTGATTCAAAACTTAATTGACATGACACTGATCAATCGTGATAAGACAGCGTGACGGAGGCAAACTGAGACTTAATGCAGCTTTATCTAGGCACCACAGAGCCTCTATACACGATTAAATGTGTACTTTCCTACTGCTGAGTGTCTTACAGCCTTCTCTGTGGTTTTGTGAGCCTCTATTATCACTTGCTTGCACTTTGATATTTCACTCAGGTGTTACTAAAATGTGTATAAATTAACTAAACACAGATGAAACGTGAACTACGTAGCTAATTCTATCATTTTACCCACCGAATTATAAACGTAGAATGCTGGTTGCCTCACCTTTTCATATTATTGTAGCTGTTGCACTACCGACCCTTCAACGCATGTTTACTTGGCGAACACATGACGCTACGCTAACGTTTCAGTAACTTAGCAAAAGGCAGTTTTTAATCTAATTATGTTTTATTACAAAAGCAACCCAGCTGATCTGTTTTATCGTGTTATGTATCCGAAAACATATTTTTGAAATCATTACAGAATTAATTATAGCTACCTTAGCATTCCTTCTCGTGGGGTTGTATGCCTAAAGCCAAACAAATCGTTAGCGCCACCGTGCGGGCTGGATGACTTATTTTTCTAGCAGTGGTATGTCAGAAAGAACTGATTGAATAAACACAGCGGACAGCGATTCGATTACGTAGCACGGATAGCGCCAGAATATTCATTTCAAAAAAGTGCTATACACGAATACCACAGGGACTACGAAGAAAATGTTAAAAGTGCAAAATGCTGATGATGAGATCGCAATATGGGCCGCGTGGCCTAATGGATAAGGCGTCTGACTTCGGATCAGAAGATTGCAGGTTCGAGTCCTGCCGCGGTCGTGTATTTTTGTTTGTTTTGTTTATTCGGAATTGCTATTTTAACTGAAGTGTAGCGTAGTTGTCAAAATGTATCGGAAAAACACAAAACTCATACAATATGTAAGGTATGTGAAGAATCAAAGATATTTTAAGCCCAGTTTCCTGATGTGGATTTAAAAAAGTAGCCAGTGTCGCTGTCGGTCTTATTTCACTGCAACACCTGGCTCGTTTCAGCGTTCAAATACAGCCATGCAAAACTGGTATTTGCTTGGTAGATTTTGATTTGTACATATCTAAGATCACGGTGCCAGTGGAGATCTTTTTTGATTATTGTCCTTGTCGAGATTGTATTACAAACCCTCGGGTGATTTAAACAGTTTTTAGCAGACGATGGCGGATGCAACTGAGGATGTCGAGCTGGACTTTGCAGCTGACGAGCAGGAGAGGGCGCGGAGAAGCGCAGTCATAAGGTGCACTGCAGGAAATATCAACACAGCTGCTGTTTTATCTTCCATAGTGTCTTTTCAGCTTTGCATTATTAGGTTTTTTGTTTTTTTGAAAACTTGTTGAGCAAAAAAAAAAAAAAAAGCTGGTGCAAATCCCTGGACAGATGGAAAGATCACTGGTACATCTCAGGGCCAGCATAGAGACAGGAAACAGTTGACACTCTTACATGATCTAATACTCATTTGTCTTTCCTGAACAGGTTTACTCTTAAAGTTAACTCCATTCTGGGAGAGTGAATGTTGAGTAGCTTCTCCTCAGCTCTGTTGAGAATCATTAAAGCGATGGTTAGGACTTCCAGCCAATCAATCAATCAATTGAAATAGACTATTATGGATTTTAAAATAATATGGTTTTCATCAGTACCCATTTTCAGTTGTATCAACTCTAAAATCAGGAGATTAACTAGGCTAACTAATTATTTTCTTCTTCTATTGTCTCTTTTTTTTGCCATAATTTTCAGGTAACCTATTTGAAAACAGCGTAGTAAAACTGGAAATTCTTTTTTGGTGTGCCACCCCAATATTTTTTATTATGGCCACCCCATGAAGCAATTCTGGAGGTGCCCCTGGTCTTCTCATTTGGCAAACTCTAATTTCAGGATTTCAGAGGGTGGAAACATAGTCAACACCTGCTGTTTTTAATCCCGTCCAGCATGTAACGAAAACAGATATTTTCTGTATGCAGTTGTACTTTGGGGGCTGTGTAGCTGATAGAGCTTTAGTTTAAATATAAATCACTAGCTGTTAGAGTACCAGGCATAAAAGTATCAGTTCAGACTATAACAGAACTCATGCCTGGACTCTTCAACACTCAGCTCATTGAGCACATTACAAGTGGACATGAATATGGCAGAAAAATGTGGATAAGCATGCGGAGTGCGCTTTTTACGATGCCATAAAACTAACGTGGAACAGTCTAAAATTTTAGATCAGCAGTAAGTGGTAGAAGAAGGCCTAAATGACCAGAGGAACACCTTCCCACCCGATAAAGGTGATCATGTAACTGGATTCATGAGCTGTCTAAGTACTTAAAATGATGCTTCCAAAGCATACATCCATTTCATCCTGAGGGATCATCAGTGGATACCTCAGTTATGGATCTGAATCTCTTTGCTTGATTTAAGGAAAACAGCTCTGAAGTCATAGAAATCACTAGTAGTGGAAGTTTTTTGTGAAGGTTGAAAAGGCTAAATCTACACAAACAAGTGGTGTCAGAAAAACTACTGGAAACATTAACTGGAGATCACAAAGGTCAAAGCAAATAAATACTAAATTGAAACTGGAGGTGGAATAATGTTTACAGACCTTCTATTCACAAGTACTCTCGAGTGACAGTTGACTGTGAAGGTTTGAGTTCACGTCTTTATGAACTTCTATTCACAGAATAAAACCTATCCTGCAGGTTAACTCATTTTGCATGCACACTATCATTTTATGTTTCCATACATGCTCACCTGTATCTGTTTGAAAGCTATCTGCTGACACATCAGACTTCTCGTTTCCAATCCCTACAATTTTAGACACCCCATGGCCTCCTTTTTCCATTTGTTCTTCCGAGTGGTTGCCATCGTTGTCTATCTGCTGTGTGAGTGGATCAGCAAGAGCTTTGCGTCCTGTTTTGTCCTGATCATAGCTCTGCTCTCGTTTGACTTTTGGTCTGTGAAGGTAAGACATCAAACAGTTTGTGTGATCTAGTTACTTTTCTGTGGCTTTCTTTAACTTTGCAGGATTTAATTGCTCACGCTTGTTTTCAGAATGTGACCGGCCGTCTGCTGGTGGGGCTGCGCTGGTGGAATCAGATTGACGAGGATGGAAAGAGCCTCTGGGTATTTGAGGCCAAAAAAGTAAGAGGGTGTTTTGTGCATTTTGAGCAATAAAAATTAGCGATTTTGATGTGTTAACCCTATAGTGTTTGCTTTCTTATCTGTGTGTATAAGTCCCGGAATAGTAACACTGGAACCGAAGCAGAGGAAAGGATATTCTGGCTGGGCCTTATCATCTGTCCTCTCATCTGGACTTTCTTCTTCTTCACCTCCCTCTTCTCTCTGAAGATTAAATGGCTGGTGAGACTCCCTTTGCTTGCTTTTCTGCATATGTGCTAGATTGCATATTGTCTCTCTCAGACTCATCTGTCTGCCTTCCTCAGTCTGTGGTGGTAGCTAGCATTTCCCTCCAAGCTGCTAACCTTTATGGCTACCTACGCTGCAAGGCAGGCGGGCAGGATGGCCATCCTCCAGACAACCGCTCTTTCACGGGACAGCAGCTCCCCCAGCGTGTGAGTGACTGGCTGCATCATGTAGCATCTGCTGTTGTTCTGTTAACATGTCATTTCACATTAATTTTATGAAGTGCGTCTATTTTTTTTCTGTCTTTCAGCCAGATATCATCTTTGGAATATTATAATGCGCCCCCCCCCCCCACACACACACATACACACTTGTGAGCTGCCTCTTCCCCAAGATTTCCACTTTCCACAGACCGCATGTTCCCAAATGGCTTTGTGTGCTGTGTTGAGCGCCGTTTAATGCTGTGAACTGTTTATTGCACATCCTGTCTGTGGATTGGTGTTGCTATGCTTAATAAAAGATAAATCCATGTTACAGTTATTGCTTATGATTTAACACCACACCTCAAAGACTGTCACAAGGTAGGCCAAGGCGCATCAGGGTGAACCAAATCAAACTTTTTTATTAATGTTTTTCACACATAACCTATTGGATTTTTGCATTACTAATAAATATTTAATGCATATATACATAATTTACACTGGCCATTATCAGCCAGTTTTAATAGACTGTCTTTTTTTAGGCTCAGTGTGCTTGGTCTTTGCATAGGTCAAAAAAGTATTTTAAAAAATAAATGACCGTAAAATTTGGAAGGAAACTGAAATGCAGAGGAAGTTAGAGTGAAATCAATTATTGAGAGAGGTTGAGTTAACATTATTTGCTGTAAACACAACTAAAGCACATTCAATTTGTGTATTATTTATGGTGCAGTTTAGTTTTAAAGAAGTAAACAAATAAAGATTTTTAACCGTGTTAGAGAACTGTTCGTTCTGCTTTTGGCCATGGCCCCTGATGCTCATTTCCCACACTTCCCACACAAACCATCAAAGATCCTTTATTGGACCAAGAAAGCTAACCCCTTATTCCAGCCCTCCAAAGACACTCTGCAAAAGGCGCGATTTTTGGTCTGCATTTACGAAAAGCTTCATTTCTGAAGTGGAAAAATTCAAAGCAAACAATGTGGCTGCATGCGGTCACCATAGTTGCTTTATGACTTTGCAAGCTGCAAAGTGTGACTTGTTTAAAATGATTTTTAACCATATAGGCTATATAACGTTAATGTTAGGGCCATAACTCTGAAAATTAAAATGTGTTCATATATACGTATATACATTGATTTGCGGAGAGCACGGTACTCTAATATAACAGCATATTTAAGAGATATAATACTGACGTGATCTTGGTTTAAGAATAAAGAAATATTTTTAAAAGGATTGCAAGACATGCTCTTTTTATTTTATTTTTTCTTGTTTCCAAGTCTTCCCATTGCAGAGGAACAGGGACAGAAATTGGCCAACACCAAATTTTTGGAAACAGCGTGAATAAGAAGTCCTTTGCTCCTTAAGCTGGTGTGATATTGTGGAAAGCTCTTAGGAAAACAAATACTAAACAGATCTGGAAGTGAGATAATTTTATCCATCTGTGCCTTTTAGTGTAGTTTTACTACTACGACTGCTGCAGGTGGTAGTAGAGAAGAAAATATGAGGGGGGGTAAATGGAGTTATGAAAGAGCCAGGAGTGAGACGTCTTCCTGATATCGGACCCTCTTTGGTGCCAACGGCCGCCGTGATTGGTCAGGAAGCCTCCCTGGTCCTGGCATGACGTCACTGCGGGAGCAAGTAATCAGACGGTAGAGGAAGCGCGCAGGCTGGAGGAGAGGCAGAAACTGGAGCACCGAGGATGAAAGCGGACTCATCCGTGAGCGGCGGCGCTGATTCTCACCGAGGGCCCGACGTGAATGCAGAAAAATGAGTCTGGAAAATTCAGCGAGCTAAAGTTGGGGACATTTGCCTCCAGAGTTCGCTTTGCTTGTGAAGCAGGTAAGAAATTGAAGTGGAAACAGGGAAAATTTGCACGCAGAGCATCACATCTTTTTTTTTTTTTCAGGCTCTGAATCTCTCCAAATGTCATGTCCATGTGGCTTACGCAGAGGATTTAGGGACACTGGCAATCTCTGCTTAGTATACCTGCTGGTGAATATCCACGGGGAAGGAATATGTAATTTAACCACCAGAAACGCCCTCCTGTTTCATTCTATTTCTGCGAAAGCAGGTGCAGGCTATGATCTTTAAACAGAAAAGAAAAATCTTATTCTCTAAATTACCAGAATAATATAGACTGCTACACTCCTCTGCCTGTTGTTATGATAAGGAACAAATTGGTTTCATGCGTTAGTTTATGCGGATAATCCTTGTGATGTGTCTAGTTTTAGAAGAAGTAGGCCAATCGCAACTCTCATTAAAAGTAGGCTGCCCTTGCCCCCAGGAGCCCTAACGAGCCGAGAGCAAATTAAAACATCTTACCCACCCCCTCCAACCAAACCCCAGCTCAATTTAGATTGAGAAGGTTTTTATTTATTTATTTCATTTTACGAGAGTCAGCTTTTGATCTTGAACTAGCATCATTTTAGTCCTCTGCATAAGCGCGGTGTCAGGATCACGGTCATGCTTTTAGGACGATATATATATATATATATATATATATGTATATATGTATATGTATATGTATATTATATATAGTATATATATACTATCATATATATTATATATATACTATATATATATATTCAGTCCTAATCTTATTACAACGACATGCCAAGTTTTGACCATGGATAATTATAATAATAATTATCCTTGGCAGTCGTTTGTTACAAGTCATATAGTGATACTCTTTATCTCGCCTTAAATTGTTTTTGTTATTATTGTTAAGATGTTGTGTTGTGCAGAATACAGGTCTGTCCTACAAAATGAACTAAATAACTGTAGGTTATTATCGAAGTATCTTTCAGCACTGTTGATTTTTTTTTGATTTTTTTTTTTAAATCTAACTAAATGCTTAAAGTAATATTTCAAACAGCTCCTGCACAGGTTTACACTAGAAATTTTGACGTTAAAAAGTATGAGAATTTGTATGCTAAATATTGTGATTTGTGTAGCTGCAATACAGGGGTGTTACCTGCAAGATATGCTAATGTAAGCGTTATAGCCTGTTGTGTGTACAAAACGCCTGATTTGATTTTTCTAATAAGTTAATATTTATTTATTTGTTATTGTTATTTTAAATTTTTGATGCATGACAATTGCACACATGTAGAGTACAATTAGGTCAGGCTGATCTCTGTACTCAGCAGGCCTTCAAACAGACACCTTATCACGGCAGGACAAGAAATGTGTGTCGGCTTCTTAAACCACCAACATATGTCAGCATAAAGACAGTGCATATCTTCGTATCGTGAACACGCGGCGTTTCATGCATCTTTTACTCCATGTAGAGACGATAGCTTTTGCTCCTTTTTTTTATTTTAATATAAAGATGCAGAAATGATCTGGGAGTGTATTTTTGAATATTACGGGCCTACTAATGCAGCTTCACCTCCTTCTAGATATCACGCCAGCATCATGTCGGGCTACAGCATCAGAGAGTGTGAGAGAGGGGGTCTGTTTTTGTCTTTGGTTATCTAGCTGTATGAGTGTTAAATACCTGTCATAAAGCTAGATAACCGAAAGTAGAAATGACTTCCGTAGCCGTGTGTGCGTACCCGAAAGAAAAGGGCGCTCTGGCTTTAGAGTCACCAAGTTGGATTTTGAAGTTCACCTCCAACAGGTAAGAAAACGTTCTGCTTTGAGGCTGGTGTTAATATTCATGAATTAGATAGGCAACAAAACGTTTTACTAGAAGTGTGTAAAGTAAGATTTTAGTGCTGAATTTAAATTTATAAGGAGTTTCTCTCCTTCTTCACCTATAACCAGTGCATTCCATTGTAGGATATGTCAGTTTCATACAACCTTTATTTTATGGTAGAAGAGTAGACAAACAATTTTCTAACAATACTACTTTTAATTTATATTTTAATTTTTTAACCTACTATATAAAAACAGCCACAAGTGCAAATAAAATGATCTAACATCTCAATCAGGCCTCTACCCCCAGGCATCTTTTACCTTTAAACTTATGCCCCTCAGTGTAACCTGAGGGTTCATATGAGCTTTAGGATTTGAGCCTGTTTCAGGGTTGTCTATTCACGTTCTTTGCAACATGGTGTTGAATGTAAAGCAGGTCACCCAGTGGCTGGATGGGGAGCAGTAGAGACTCAAAGACCCAAAATTTCACCATTCGCAGGCATTGGTCCACTGATGTCAGTAAAGCATCATGTGAGAAAAACTTTATTGCCAAAAAATTAATTAACAGTATTTTAAAAATCCAGTCTAATAAGAAGGGAAGGTGAACAGGCAAACAGGTCATACTACCAGGACCCTGAAACTACAGCTAAATGGAATTCAGCCATTATTCATTTGTGCTCTTCTTACCTCTTTCTGTAAAAACACATCACATTATCACAGCATAGAGTCAAATAACTTTACTTATTATTAATTGCACTTATTAAACCACACTTATTATTATTATTTTCTTTCTTGAGGACCTCCAATATTCCTCTTAAAGTACCTGCTTCAGGATACACTGGCATGTTCCCCTGGAAGCCTATAGCGAGTGGGTTGTGATCTTTTACAATTTACCCTCTACTTTGTCATTCGTTTACTTTTTTCCTTCGCTGAAGAGTATTTGCCATTTATTTTAAACACAACACGCAGTTCCGATTCTAACTTCATTCAGGAGAAAGAAAGGGGAAGCTAATGCTTTGTTCCAGCAGGACTGCTAATAATGCCGTTGAGTGGTGTAGCACCCTGCTAATAAAAACACTTGGTGTCTGTATTTAAAGCTGTAGCAAATCTCAGAGCCTTTGGGATACATTGTGTCTCGCCTCAATGAGAAGGCCAGGGCCATCCTGTAGACAGGAGCTGAACTTTTCAACTTGGTACTTCAGCGCTGTTCGGTGCATACGCTCAACCCTGAGAATGCCTCTAAAGCCTAAAGAGCACCAAAGTGAGATGAGTTTTCATTCATTCTGTTAACTACCTATTGCTGTAGAGCTTGCGGTCAAATGCGGCTAATTGCTTCGTTTCACAACGAGATATTGGATATGTGAAAAGGCCGTGGTCCAAGTCTTTTCCAGAGCTTTCCCTGTTATAGGTAGCGTGTGAACATGACGTGCCTCCTTAGTGAAAGGGAATAAAAACACTTGAGGCTTTATATATGGGATGGTCCAAGGAATTCTTGATTTAACCTTTGAACTTTGTATAATATGAAGGATTCTCTTGGTGGTTTTATGGCAAAAACATACAAAAACACACAAGCATGACAAGAGATGGGACTGGGCTATGAAGAAGCAAAGCTGGTGAGAGCTTTTAAAGTTTCCATAGCTGACTGATTTATGCTTGTTTACAGTATGTACAGTAGGCCGTGTTTAGCTATAGTGATACCTTAAGATGTGTAAAGCACTTTTCATATTTTACTCCTCTCTTTTCTATTTTTCTGCTCGTATTGCAGGCTTCTGAATAACACTGAAAGCTGTGGGATTCCTGAAAGGATCCACCATTAGAAGAAAATAAAAAGAAAGGACCTCCCCTCTCCCACCTTCACCCCTTTTTTGCCCGAGAGCCTCTGATGCCATCTGCACTGCCAATGTGGGCGCTTGGCCTGTGCCAGGAGGGGGACAAAGACCCTGCCGGATACCCTGCTGGAGTAAGGGCTTGCACAGAGGAGCCATCTTGGGAGATGTTTGCCGTGACACCTAAAATGGCTGGGCTGGCACACGAGGTGAGCTGCATCATAGCTTTCTGTTGGGTACCAGTGGTAATGGTGGTGGTGATGGTGGCCAGGAGGTGGGAAGTGTGACTGTGTCTGTCTGTGTGAGAGAGATGGGGGAAGGGAACAGGAAGAAGGATGAGGGATGAGGGGAAAGAAGAGTTTCCCATTTCCTCCCCAGTCACACATGGCCTCTCCCTTTTCTGCTTTCTTCAGCTCCTGCTAATTAGCAGTTAAGGGGTGATGTGAGGGTGGTGGGTGAAGAAGGGTGGTGGTAGTTGATGGTGGAAGGGAGGGGTGGGGGGGTTGCTGGGTAGCAAACAAAATTAATGAGCTGGCACTGGTTGAAGGAAACCTGCCATCCTCTCCTGTCATGGTGCTTCTTTACTCCCTGATGCACACCAGGCAGTGGTGTACGGCGTGTTTCCACCTGACAAACCTCGGAGATTAATTCATGCAAAACGGCTTTTGTTAGGAAATTTGCATCGTGATATTTACCACAGTATCTTTAAGCGTCTTAGTGTGGCGAAAATCTGAGGAGGAGACAAGCAGGGATCCTGATATTTCTCCTGTGGGTGATCACACGACTGTCTTTAAAAGTAAAAGCATTAGAGTTTAACAATTAAATTTACAGTCTGAAAATATTCGGGTTCACGAAGCAGTTCCTTGTGTGTAATACTGATATTTTATCATTCATGTTGCAGTGCAGACACTGCGCTTGCATGTAAGTTTTGAGAAATAAGAAATGGGGCAGTGAACATACCTTATTATAACTGTTAACGCTGATTGAAGAGCTCATATATAAATTTAAGCATTAGCGCTCGGCGTTTAATACTGATTACAGCTCTTTCTGGTGTAATTGTACTGCTTCGGTGCTTGCATGTGATTAGAAACTTTAGTTAACAGGAAGGCTAAAAACGTCTTCCAAAATCTGGCAAGGGCAAAATGACACTGCTAAATATCAGTGTAAGTGCAGAGCAATCCAAATCGTCAGCAGCTCCAAGCCTGTAACCCTACACGCGCACGCCCGGAAAAGCGTCCTCATCGTGGCGTAGAGCTGCCCTGTACCCCCGGTGACTCCGGCAGCGACCTGGAGCAGAAAAAGAGACACGTGAGCGTGTGTGTGCAGGGCCAACATGTGCAGCTGCAGTGCTCGTGTGTTAATGAACAGCACCGTGCGTTTTCACATTATCATTCAACCCCGTTCTTTCTCACCCCACCCCACCTCAATAGCTGCTGCCACCCCCCCACTCCCTACCCATTCCCCCTCGAAAAGCCTGCTTTCCCACTATTGTGGGAACTGGTGGTGCGGTGGACCTGGGCTGGGGGGCAGGGTGGGAAAGACCCTCCAGACTAGACATGAGCAGATGCCTGAGACATTAGACTGTCGTGCAGATCACCGGGGTCGGACGAGCCACTGAGTTTTAATGTGTGTGCAAGTGTATGTGGGTTTGATATGTGTGTGATGGGGGGTGGGGGTGTAGTTCAGGCCCTGGAGTGCCACCTGACTGTTCATTAGTCTATTCAGCCTCCTCTCCATGTCTGAAAGACATGGAGATGCTGTATTTTGTGCTAAATGAGAGGGGTTTCCCAAGCATGAGGCCTATACGCTGTCACATGTAAAACCATAGCCTGTCTTTAGATCCTATTGGAGGCAACAATTAATTTTCATATTTATTAATTTTTTTACATTAAAAATTTGATTTGATTAAAGATTTAAACCCTCACAGTGTGTCCACTTCCTCTGCCTTGCACTCCTTTATCTTATCTCAATTTCCTATCTGGATGAGAGTTAATGCAAACACCGTCTCCAAACTCATGCTGTTCTCAGATTGTAAAAAAAGAAAAAAGAAATCATACAAGACAATTGGTGGCACAACATATCACGGCGAATGACTCAGCTAAGGCGATGGGTGTGCTCTCGAAAGCTGAATGATGTAACCCGCGGATAATGATTATTAATGAGCCTCATACTGTACGTGTGCCTCCACAAGATGTGTAAGGCATGTGCAGCCCACATGTCAAAAGATTATTCCCTCTCTTTATTCATATAAAAGACTCAGAGCTGTCTTTACAATTACATTTGTGCTGCTCATCTGTGATATACAGCATATTGCTTCAGGCAGGTTTGACAGAAGAGAGGAAGCACTGTGAAAAAAAATCGTTTTGGAGACATTATAGCTTGCTTAATGCTATGTCTCCGTTGCACATCTCCATGACACATTAGGGGAAACAGAGGAGTAAGGAGGGGAATGATGATGAAATTGTTTGTTTTTTTTTAAATAAAAAAAAAAACAAAGGTAAAGATTGGGTTATCAAGAGAAGGTTAAAGACACTGGAGCTAAATGTATATGCGTGCATGAAAAGGAGGCAGCAGGTGTAGCACATGGGCAGCCATGTTTGAGCCCACCATCTGCATTTACTGAGGAAGTTAGCTTGTGCTAGCCTGTGCAGTGCCACATTAAAGCCATCTGCAGCTGCGAGGAGCTGGGCATCGAAGATGGAAGAGTGTGCGTGTGTGTGCTTGAAAAGAGTAAGGAGGGCTATCAATTTGTATGTGATAGCCGCAGCAGTCGGCACAGACAGCGTGGTCAAATAGAGGGGGTGGCTGAAGCAAATAAGTCAGGAAAATGTATTTGCGCTTAATACCAAAAGTGGTGTAGATGTAAAGAGCTTTTACTAGTACTTGAAGGGTGTTAAAAATGAGCAGCATGTACAAATGCACACAGAATATTTCTTTGTCTAATGGTTAATAAGAGCTGTATTTCTTACTAAACGCAATGTGGTGTGGAGGGGGGATAGCATGAGTTGATTGCAAATGAGCAAAAAATAAGTGATGGGAAAAAAAATGCCAATGTTGATTTAGATAGTGAAACCGCTTAAGACTCGCGTGGTTTTAATCGTCTCGGAAACAAAGAGTTTTCAATCAAGATGGTCTAAAATGAGAGCAGCTGAAGAGTGAGGTCAGCAGCTCTGACACGGTGTCGGGAGGATTTAGGATATAAAGGTCCTCGAATCTTCCTCGGCACACTGTAGATACTTAAATATTCATTCTTCATTCTTTCATTCCTTCTACTTGTACATAACTTTAAATTTGACAGAAAAATGTATTTCCCCTCAAGAAAATGGCAGAATAGAGATGATTACCTTTCCTTCCTTTCCTCCTTCTGTTATTCATTATTAACTATGTATTGCTTTTCCTATGTGGGATTTTCAGTGCAGGGAAATTATAATGTATGACATGATGAAGTGACAGTAGCCCGGTGCTCACTTCCTATTCTGTGTGAGTTCAGCGCCGTAGCCATAGTAGCGATAAAATGTTAATACCGTATAGCTCCTGGGTTACCTCTTCACTATGTGTGGACAGTATTAATGTTTTAACGCCTCTGCTGTGGTGTATAAAGCACAGCTCATGGGCCGCCCATAGTCTTGGATGAGGTCCAATGTGGGTCAAGCGAGGCTCATTGGGACTCTTTAATGCAACTTTGGCAGAGACTAATCTTGCACAAAGCCCAATGCTAAGTATCTTAGAGCAAGATGGAGAGAAGTTTCTACATCCAAGGCTTTGCAGATTACGTCTGTTAGCCATGGCATCCCTGAGTAGGGGTCCTGTATGCTCCAATGAAAGCAGGGGAGAATTAGGTGACTGAGCCTTTAATACAGTGGCCCTTTGTAATCATATCAGTAGATGAGGTTCTGGGTTGAGGAGAATTACATTGAATCCTTGGAGTGACCTCTTTTTATTTTGTGAATGTAATTTTATTCAGTAGTACCATGTGCGAGTTTGATACAGGCAAAAGCAAAAAGAGACAAAGAAAGTGCAGAGTACAGCGTCTGATGCAAAATGGCTGTACGACCCCAACTCTGTGTCAGAAATCAATTCAAGTTCAAGTTCATGGTTGCGACCGCTCTGTCTACAGCCGGTCAGGGAGTTAAGAGTGTCTGTGACCACCCCAGAGTACAAGAGGAGGAGGAGGAGGAGGTGGTGGTGGTGGGTGCGGGGTACATAGCCTTTGACCTCTGTTAGTGTTGCTATGGGAAAGAGGCCGGTCGGCTCAATAATGTACGGCTGAAAAGGCCGAACTGTCAGAGCTGTCCAGCAGACGTCAACCCCCCCCCCCCCAATGATACACACACATGCACACAAGCTCTAACTCATTCACACACACTCACAGATGGCACGGGCCAGCTTGGGAATGTTCGTTGTGAGAGAATGCTTTATGTTCATCAGACGCTGTTATAATTCATCCAATCTTTTGAGTCTCCACCTCTTCCTCTGCACATTCTGTTAGACTTCTTCTGTCTCATTGTGTGTGTGTGTGTGTGTGTGTGTGTGTGTGTGTGTGTGTGTGTGTGTGTGTGTGTGTGTGTTAGCGTGCGCATGTGTGCATGTCACCCAATATACAAATACTGTGATAAAGCACTTGTGAGAAAGGAAACCAATCCTACGTTGCAAACAGAGCTCTTCAGATAAAACGTGCTCCCTGCAGTCAGAAGAAGTCCGCAGAGAAAACATTTCACTAAAAAACAAAAAATGTCCAGCGTATTGTCAAATAGTGAAATTACACAGCAAACAAAGCATCGCTTGTGAGCAGAAAACTCACTATACACATGCACATAGTGCATGATTCCGTTTCGCTTAAGCCTCACTATTGTTGTTCTTACAAGGCAATATCTGTGCAATCTCCAATTTTGCATGTAGGACTGTGATGTAATTAATAACGGTGAAAATCATCTTCTGTGGCCCCAACCTCAACCCATGAGTTATTGATCTCTTTGGATAAACCTGTGGATAAAATAATCTGTTGCGATGTATATTTCTGTGTCTGCTCATTTGAAATGGTCAGTGTTTGATGTTTGAGTGACTGCGTGTCAGAGTGGGCATGCAAATCCACTGATTGTACTATGTGCATGTTCCGTGCCCCCTCTGTGAGCGTGCGCAAGTGTGGCCTCATTTAAGGTTGCATTCATTCAGGGGAGGGGTCTCACGAATAAAAGAGCTCCTATTTGCATACGCTGCATGCTGTCTGCAGAGAGGGAGCAGTCAAAAAAAAGATATCAGAGGTGGACAAAGAGAACGAGGACAAATCCTTCATTGTGGGGTTGGTGGGAGAAAGGGCTCATCTGAATTGGGGAGTGGGTGGAAATTGACAGAGAAAGAGTTCGGGCTGGTTCCCTGTAGGGATAAAAGCCTTAAGATCCCTTCATGCATACAGCCTGCAAATGGAAGAGAAGAACAACATGCAGAGCACAGGGGTCTTTTTCTTTTTTTTAACAGTGCATGAAAAGGAAGTTTGTTTTTCTGAAACACTGCTTACAATCTTTAATGTATAAATTAAAAAAGAAAGAAAAAAGAAATCATGCACAACAAATTCACTATTGGCAAAACAGACTCATCAACCTTTGGAATAACCAAAGAGCTGCTTCGGTTTGCAGAATCGTTTTCAGATTTTATTCTTAAACGTTTCCCCACAGACTCGTTTTTATATGGGGATGTTATTTACCCTTTTTATGTGTTGTTTTACCCGGTGGCCCTTTGTTCTTTGGGTTAATTTGTTTCATTGTAAATGTTTGCTGTTTTTAATGACTGCTCAGCATTTTGTAAGCTCAAGAAAATGCTCTACAAATAAAGCTTTTAATTATGAATGCTTAACGTACTAGCTCATGACAAAACTAGCACATTTTCATATTATGTTGTCAGTGGAATGTGTTCCTAAATCGAGACTGTTTGCAAGAATACCTTCACTTTGCTTTTTGCACCCAAAATATGAAACGTTACTCTCATTCAGGGCAGAAGAGTTTATGGAGCCAAGTTCGATTCTCATGCTAATGATTCCCTCCATGCTTTCTTCCTCAGGATGGGACAGGACCTGCATCTCTGCACTCTGTAGGACTCTGAAGCCATGGAAGAAAACTCATCAGACTGTTGTCCTAACAGAATATAAAATTTAACGAAACTGAAACCTGAGTGTATCATCGAAATAAAGTAGAAACAGCAGGTTTACTATGAAACACATTCTTCAAGATCAAGGCCTCGGTTAAGCAAAAACAACAAAACCCTATTTTAAGACATTGTGAATGTAATGCCATATATGATTTGACATGTTTATACTGATGTCTTTGTTTAAAAACTGTTAATAAATCACTTTTTTCCCCACTAAATTATGTTTGTAGATTTTCACAGTAAATGCCTGCTTTTTTAAATTAATTAAATATTTTATTTTAATATGTCTAAAGTGTATTTTTTAATAAATATAGATTATTTTATTATTAATATCTTGTCAGTAACAGCTACTTAAATAATATAATAAAATAATATGAAAACATTACCCCTGTGTTTGACTCTTGTTTTCGAGCAACACCGTGCTTTATTTTGGTGATCCGATAGGCGAGGAAGGACCATATTGTGAGGCTGGATTATTACAGAGCTGGGAAAATAAAACACGAAACACACACATATTTATAATGTCCCTCTCTCTCTTTCTCTCGCTCGCTCTCTCTCTCTCGTGAGAAGGTGTTTGAGTGACCCCGCATTAAGTTTTAATTAGGAGGAGCAGACAAAGCACCGTGTGTGGGAATGAAAAGTTCATCAGCCGAAAACCTCAGTTGCCAAAACGACCCTGTCCGCTATTAAACACGATGTAATAATAATAATAATAATAATAATAATAATAATAGCCTTCATATTTTATTTATCAAGTGGATTTTATTTGAAACATTTCACCCACACGTTTGCCTTGTGTTCTAAGAATAGTTAAAGGTCTAAATCAGTGCAATAAAAATGTAAGTATAAATTTAACCGAGTCTGAGTTTTAAGTGTGAGTGAAGGCCACAGCCACGTTTGGACAATTAATCAGTTTTTTGGGTGGGTGGGTGGATGGGTGTGGGGATTACAAGCCGTCCGGGTGTCAGTCGGACCTCAATCACTGTCCGACTGATCTCTGTCCGGAGTCAAACAACAGATGGACACGCGCGGGGTCAGCAGGGGATTATTTCCACGCTTTGTGTAACAAACAAAACGCTTAGAAGTGACAGAAAAAAAGAAAAAATACAGACATGCTCATTAGTTTCAACAACTGAGTTGTGAATAACTTCTTTTTGCAATTTAATGTACTTGACTAATAACTAAATAAACATGAATAACATCATTGCTCCATTCGCCTTTCATTTTAATCTTCTGACTGTATTACATTGCATTATTTTCTAATACAAATTTTAAAACGATACAATATGTATATAATCTTTTGAAATTACCAGACTATTATTGTTTTAAAGTGGATGAATGAATGACACTTTTTTCAATTTAAAAAGCAGTGATGAAACAATTAAAATTCATAAAAGACTGAAAAAAGAAAAAGAAAAAAAAGCATGAGTTTAATTGTATGTTTTAAAGAAGTTATTGATCCTACATGCAGGTGTCACAGCAGCAGAAATATAAACAGCAATACAGAGCTAAGCTGCTAAGCCAGAATACCTGCTTCTAACCCATATAATAAATCATCTATTTATATTGTATATATTAAACATGACACTTAGAAAATAAAAATAAAGGTAGTCTAATCAATAATGTATGGACTAGTGTGAGAAAACAAATAGACTAAAGTGCGGATACAAACATCTTGCAGTAAACTCTGTAATTACACAGTTACTTGCTTGTGAATAGCTTGTGACAGCGATGTTTTCTTACCCATCTCCTCAAATCTAACATCACATGGCAGTGCAGTTCTCACTCATGGAGCCCCACGCAGGAGTCAGCATGTTTTCAATCTATCTAAACACTACAGCGGCTGATTTTGGTGATTAGTTCCCCCTCTCTGGATGAATGGAACCCAATTAGCGAAATCAGCCTCTGTAGAGCCTGGATGGAAGGAAAGCACAAATGTTCAAATGATGTTGTAAAAACTGTTACACTGCCATGATTTTCATCATTAAAAATGTTTCATATTCTGTTGGGTTTACCCTACATGCCCTGCAAATGTGTGCTTTATGTTTCCTCCCTGCAAACAAACATTAGAGAGCTCAGAGAATAATTATGGCACATTCAGTATCCACATCATCCTTCTGCAGAGGTAACGTCTTGCTTTAATCTGTTGCTCGGTGTAAATATTGCTTTTTGATGAATGTCCTGTGAGGTGGCACAGCCGGTCAGGGACCTGTTGGTGAAGTCCCATGTCAGCAGGGGTCAGGGGTCACGATCTGGGCAGTCCCCCAGAGGACAATAAACAGGCCGGAGAGATGCTGAGGTCAAAAAAAGCTTTAGCCAGAACCAAAGGTCAAGGGCCGCTAATTAAGTGGCTATTTCCTGCTATTCCCAAGTGACCAGTGGAGTTGAGACAGAAAATGAAATGCATGAAGAAGTTAATAAATCATGTTAACACAAAAAAGGAATTTGAGCACTATATAATAAAAACAACAGCCTGTCCCCCTCATGTTAGAAGAGAAAATAAAATATAAAGATTAAAGATATAAATTCTATATTTTTTCAGCAGATTTCCATAAAAATAACAACATATTTAACCTTTATTTCATAGCAACATTCTCACATGCTGCTCCCCTAAGGGAGAGAAGCCGTGATGCAGGACCTCACTGCTCACGATGAGGAATCCAAACATTTTGGAGGGAACGTTAGAGTTGGTAGGAGCTGTTTATGCCTTTCCAGCCTGTGAATGAGCCCTATGTGTATGATCCTTTAGCATAAGAAAGGAGGTGGGGCCTGTGAACTTCTCTGACACTGACCTTTCTCCCAGGATGTGAATAGTATCACTCAAGGGGCTACCCGGCAGCCTTTCAGCCAGACCCGAGCCTCGCCCTTGCCTAAACTTCTAATCAGGCTGATTTAATGTATCCTAAAAGTCTTTCCTCGCCACCCACCCCACCGCTGCTTCAGAGGAGTCACTGTGCAGCCATTTACTGCAAGCACACACAGCCCTGTCTCTGGGCCCCTACACTCTGGGAAGTTAAAGGAGCTGGTTTGAAACAACAGAGGGCCCTTTCTCCTTCCAAAGTGTCTGAGTCGCTTTGTAATCAATTGGTTCCTCCTCCAAGGAGCTGATGCTTCAACCAAACTGATTTGGATTTCTCAGATAGTCGAGAATATGGAGGTACTATTTTATTTAAGCAAAACACATGTTCTTCACACGTCAACAGTATACTTTATTTATTATAGTTCTTTCTACCACATATTTAGCTACAATAAATTTGTAAATAACATTGAAAAACATCGAAATATTACTCATTACTGTACATCCGTGTCATTATATACAGCATAACATGAGCAGAGCAATAACATGTGCGTGGCATCAATGTCAAGTGGGCTGATTTATGCAGCACGTGATTTATACTTAACTACCAGTCGCCGTAAATGTGCTTTTAGTCGTTAAGATCAACTTATTTAGCTCTTGGTTGGCAGCCCATCTGAAGCATTGTGTATTGTTTTGTATGAAATGCGTGTGTCTAAATAATTTCTCACCAAAGTTAAGTGAGACTCTGAGGCTCAGTTAACACAATTAAAAATCTTTTTAAAATAAAATTTAAACGCAATGAAAAATAATCCTCTGAATCTGGATCATGCAGTAAGCATGTGGGGCTGTATCAAATATCGACGCAATAAATGACGCTCAGCAGTGCAGAGGAGCGCATTACGCCTTGACCAAGCGCACTGCTCCCGGAAGTAAAAATGTTTTCAAGCCATAATATCAAAATAAACATACATAATACATCGCTCATAAATCCTTATGTAAAATAACGAAGGCCTTCACTCAAATGGTTTGTGTTTGTTTGTATTTATTTATTTCCGTTAAACTTATTGTTACATTTATTGGGGGTTTTGCTGCATCAGGCTGCTGCAAGAATCTCTCAACAGTCCTGCTATTATTATGGTAATAGTTTAAAAGATTATTAGCTAATTATTAGCTGATTGTAATCTTTCATTTATAAACTGTACACCTAAAAACCTAAAAGCAAAAACAAAAAACTAAATCTTAGGTTTATTTCTTATTTTTTCTTTTTTTTTTAAGGATTTAACGTGCTCATATTGTATTTGAGCACATTAAATTGTTGTTGTTAGTTAGTAACTGACGTCAGGTTCGACTTGGCATTAGTGTTTGCAGCTGCAGTGCTGCTCTTGATTGGTGCGTAAGACCATCATGTCCCGCCTCCTGTTGCAGCTCATTCCCGTTCTGTAATACAGTTAATAGACGAACTGTGTAATGTAGTGTGGGTCCTCTGAGAGCCAGCCTCTACCTGCTCTGTAATCTATCAGTCTTTTGTTACACTCTGCGTGCTGCGTAAATGCTCGTCAGGTGGGAGTTGAAGTGGAAGGCAATAACATGAATTTAAAACAAAAGAGTTGGAGCTAAATGCAATATTATGATCATTATTATTATGTATTTTAAAGGCTTCCTGTGCTTAGATCGCTTGGATGGTTAATTGCTAAAACTCTAGTGCAAAATAATTTCACCCCCACCCCCATTTTCACATTACAACAACACAATAACTCTCTTCTCATACAGGCCTCTGTGTATTTTCCACTACAAATAATCCACAATAAATAATTAAGCTTTTAAAATCTTTGGCAACATTTTTAAAAATAGAATTGATTTCAGAGTAACGAATATTTGGTTCTTTTATCGAAAATGAAATAAAACCAAAGCCTCGCAAGAATGTAGAAATCAATACTAAGACAAAGTTATTTAACAAATTGATTTCCAAATGTGATGTAGACTAATTTTTGTTATGAATTATTTATTTATTTTACTCTATCGCTGAGTTGTAGTTTGAGCCCCTGCTGCCTCTGATTCAGTCACCGTGTTTTATAATTATCCAAAGGACGTTCGTCTTTACTTCACAGTTGCATGATTTTAAACAGATTCAGGCAAAATTTATGTAGAAGCTTTGGTCTTAAAAACAGAAATAAAAGGAAGGGGCATCAGTTATTAAGATGGCTGCTATCTGCCCTCCCTGAGTGTATGAGTGACGAAGTTTTCTATGTGTGTGTGGGTGAAAGAGAGATACATTCTTTATGCTCCTTTTGCCTTTTTGCTTATTTTGCATGTGTACATTTCACTGTCCATGTCTACTGTGTCCCTGCGACCAGTAATCAATGAGAGATAAACCTTCTGCTGCCACTGCTGGCTTTGTTCCCTCTTGTGGGGCTGATTAAGTGCTCTTAATCTTCAGCATGTCTGCTGAAGAAATCAGGTGATTTACGCATTTAGGCTGCAGAGAGACAATGAAGATCAGAATATATGTGTTGATTTATAACAGAAATTAATTCCAAAAGCTTCAAGAGTCTGAAGGAAGAAAAGAGTGGGTGGTGTGTGTGTGTGTGTGTGTGGGGGGGGGGGGGGGGTCAGTCAGTGCGCATGCTCACAGTGAGGCGTGGAAAGGCTCATTAGAGGTGCACGCAGTGTGGGTTGGCATCTTTCAAAAAGCCACGTGAGGCTTCAGCCATTCCCCGCTCTTCGTGGCATGCTGGCAGCTTGGTTGTGATTGGCTGAGGACTGTGTGAGTCAGCAGTCGAAGGTGAAAGGTAAGCTGTACCACGGCTGCTTGCAAATGCTACTCACGGCAGGTGCGTCGATGTGGATTTTTGAATCAGTGTGTAAATGTTGACAAAAAATCTGAACTTCAAATTGATGCTTTAATTAAGTCC